GTTTTTTTTTTTTTTTTTTTTTGAAGGTGGCACAAGTCAGAACAGGGCGACCGCGGAGAACAGAATCAAAAAGAGTGGTCGTAGTTTTGATTATGGAGGGGAATCATGGGGATTGCGGACAGTGTGCGGGGGACAATGGACATCCGCGACGATTTTTTAATTGTACTGCAGTGCGATACTGTCGGTTGATATTGAGAAAGTTACAGGCTCTAACTACTGAATTGAGTTGAACTAACTTTTGGGATTTGATTGGTGAGGTGATTGGGAAGGAATCCGAACGGAAAAACGCCCGGATGTGAAGCATCCAGGAGCGTTGACATTAATTTAACTCGATTGTTTTAGCATTTGGTTGTTGTTGTTGTTTTTTTGCGACGTTTTGGCGGTGGGAATGACGCGTATGTACTGCGGGAAGCCCTTCTGCACTTGCCCTTTATGCTTTTTTATCCAAATCGCGCTGCGACGCGTTTTTTTTTTTAAGGTGGCGCAAGTCACAATAGGGCGACCACGGGGAGCAGAATCAAAAAGAGTGGTTGTAGTTTTGATTATGGAGGGGAGTCATGGGGATTGCGGACAGTGTGCGGGGGACAATGGACATCCGCGACGATCTTTTAATTGTACTGGAGTGCGATACTGTCGGTTGATATTGAGAAAGTTATGGGCTCTAACTACTGAATTGAGTTGGACAAACTTTTGGGATTTGATTGGTGAGAAGTGGAGACACTTGGGGGGATGGGATTGAGAAAAGAAAAACACCCTAGGTGTGAAGTATCCAGGAGCGTTGGCATTCATTTGAGGTGAATTTTTTTAGCATTCGGTTGTTTTTTTTTGTGACGTTTTGACGGTGGGAATGACGCGTATGTACAGCAGGTCGTACCTCTGACCTGATTCACTCGAGAGGTTTCTGGGGGAGGCCCTTTCGCACTTGCCTTTTATGCTTTCTTTCTCTGAATCGCGCTCCGACGCGCAATTACTTATACAAACACCCTTCTCCGGGGCTTTTTGCTTCTGCCGGTTTGTTTGGTGAGTTTTTTTTTTTTAAGGTGGTGGAAGTCACAATAGGGCGACCTCGGGGAGCGGAATCAAAAAGAGTGGCTGTCGTTTTGATTATGGAGGGGAATCATGGGGATTGTGGGCAGTGTGTGGGGGACACTGGACATGCGCGACGTTTTTTAATTGTACTGCAGTGCGATACTGTCGGTTGATATTGAGGAAGTTACAGGCTCTAACTACTGAATTGAGTTGAACAAACTTTTGGGATTTGATTGGTGGGAAGTGGAGACACTTGGGGGGATGGGGTTGAGGGGTAAATCGGGGGTTTTTATTGGGGTTTTGGGGCGAGGGGTTGCGCGTGAAGGAAATTGGGGAGATATTGTGGGGTGGAATCGAGTCGAAATGACGTGAAATTTTTGGATTCACGGAAATCAGTGACGCTGTTGACAATTTTTGGGTGAAATTAGGGTTTTACTGGATCAAGTTGACTGGTGTCAAGTTGTAGCACCATTGAAATTCAATGAAAATTCACAATTTTCATTGATTTTTTCATGAAATTGCGAATTGAATTAAAGTTTGAATTTCAGTTGAATTATTCCTATTCACAATTGAAAATAAAACTGATAAAATCATCTTTTTTTAATTGATAAAATTGTGAATTGGAATAATTAAATTAAAATTTACAATTTTATGAGAGAAAAAAACATGAAAGTTGTGAATTTGAGCCCAATTATTTCATGAAAATTAACAGACATCATTCCCCGACGCAAAATAACACGAAAAATAGTACTTCTGTGTATTTTTCCTAGAGAAATGAAAAAGTTTCCATGAAAATTACTAGTGAAATAAATTATAAGGGAATCCGTAGCTGAAAATTGAAAATTAATTAAAAATCATCGATTTCGAATTAACAAAATCATTCAAAGTCAACAGCAGTCACCGAAAAACCCCTGTAATCACGTCGAATCTACTTAATTTCGAAGTCATCCTCTCCCTTCATCATTCATAAGTAGCTCTCACCTTCCTCCCAATAATCAAAAGTTTGTTCAAGCAATTTAAAAATCTACAATAAACACACGATAAATATAAAAACAAAATGACTCTCGATCCACAATAACATTAATCGTAATGAAAAAAAAAAACAAATTAAAAAAAAATGATAAAAAATTAGTGAAAGCCAAACCAAAACCAGGAGTTACCATAAAGGCGTGGGTAGCGAGAAGTTGCTGCTGGATTTGCTGTTGAAGGTGATGGTGCGCTGGCAGAGGAGGTTGGCCCTCCTGTTCGCCATAATATTGCAGCGTACGGAGAACACACCAACAATCAACCACAACCACGAGCACCACGAGGCGGCAAACATGGGGGACAGACAGGCGGTCATACGTGTAGTATAATGACAACACAAATAAATTTTTGTTTTCTTTTTGTTTTTTTTCATCGCATTGATATTCTCTCATTACTTAGCGTGCTGGATTGATTAATAATGAGTGTAAATAATAAATGAAATCAGTTATTTGGGCTGCGATGAGATGACCTGTGAACGATATTCGATCAGCATTTCGTGGAAAATTCATGGGTAACGTATTCATAAAATAGCTGGAAGCTTGAATAATGCCGAAATATACATCTCATTAACGTAATTAAACGGCACGTGTGCCTGGAGTGTTGACCTCAACAAATCTATAGTGAATTTATAAAGCTAAATTTGGCTGAGCAATTGATTAATTGCGAAATCATCAATTAATTGAGGGTATTCATTGGATTAAAATCAACTTTTTCGAGAGCCCTCGCACGGAATTGCGGCTCTCCAGTCCCATTAGCCACGGCAATTTCACCCGAAACAAATGTACATGTGATATGTTTTGAAGGAGAACACTGACAACACTGAGAAAGATATTAAAACAACGTAAAAAAATGGGGAAAATAATTCACATATAATCATGCAACGTGCTGACAATTAATCTAGGGAGTGATGTGCATCAATAGTCGCAAATCAAACATCGAGATTGAAATAAAACACATGAGATAAGCACTGTTGCATCTGCTCGATCTACAGAAAAATCATAAAATATGTAGATGCTGATACAAATGTCATACGTTTACGCGTGAGTGATTTATTAAGAGTATGAAAGCTTGATTGTTGGTGATTTATTAATGAGAGTTAGGGGTATTGGAGGGCTGTGACATACCACTGTAGGCACCTGACCAGGCACAAGGGGCTGTCCCGGGGTTAGGCCCATCTGCTGCATCAGGGCATTCTTCAGGGCTAAGTGATTTCGTCCGTTTATCAGTAATTGATCCTTCAGGTGCTGGGGTGGATGGAAGTATTTGCATGGCGGCTTTTCTCGATTGCATCTTCCCTGCAAGCATAAATATAATGGATGCGTTAATTGACATTATAATATTATTATATGGTTATTTTGTTGCTGCCGAATGAAAGCTTTGTAATCGTTTTTCCAAAGTTTTTCTTCAGTCGTTCGCGAATGAATGAATGGAATTGAATCATTTTTTTCTAATGTAGGCAGTGTTGAGACCTATCGATCGCCATTAATTAAAATTTAATTCATCGATTAGTTTTTTAATTTTCGAATTTTTTCGAAAATCGGTCGTCCCACGATAACTAAAAAAATGTTCTGAATTGATTGAATGGTGGCTTAAAAAATTTGTTTGGATGCCCTTTTGACCGAGTTCGAAGATGAAGGCGATAGCAATAATCGTTATTTTGATTTATTTGAAAATTTGCAAAAATTTTGTATTTTTTGAAAATCAGAATTCCGGGGATATCTTTGAATATATATGATGCTTCAAATGAATTCGATCATAGCTTAAAATGTTTGTTTCAATGCCATTAAGTCGTAGTTAAAAGTTTTATGATGATTGTTGAAAATGTCGAATTTTTCATGAATTTCCCTGAAAGTGAGCTTTCTGATGATTTCTTCAAATGTGATGTTTCAAATTCATTCACGTATGTATAAATAACATTTTTCTATCAACATTTTATCGAAGGGCTGAGGAGAGAGGTAGAACCGTAAAAAAGACAATCGAGTAATGATGATGATAACGTTCAACTAAGTTAGTAATCTGACAAAATTAGTTAGAAAGAAATGTCATTCACTTTAATCAAATAAAATAAACAATGAATTATACATATCAGAAGGAAATGATGTGCAAAATAACCATTCGGAAGTATATCGTTAATTTATTAGCATAAATAACTATACAATATGCAATACACGAGCAATTTCCCACTTCTGTATTATTGTAATCTCAACAAAAGAAAAAAAAAGTGGAAACTCTGTGGTTCTGCTTCTGATTCTCTGTAATTTCCTGAAATTACAATATAAACTGTACATTGAAATAAAAATTGTTACAGTAATAAATTTCTACCGAAAAGAAGTAACGATCCAACTTCTTAAATAAAAAAGAGTGAAAACGTTTTCATTAATGTTCCACTGGAAATTTATTTGCACCTATTTGATTCAACTCATGTAGAAGCAATAGAGTCTCAGAAAGAAATGCCCTAAAACGTTATCGATGGACAGGGGTTATCAAGAGGGCATCGGCACCGCAGAGTCAATATCACAGCGAGTGTAATCACCAACTCGATGGGCAATAAACGCGATCGATTACCGGAGGACTTCCATAAATTGCGAATCGAATTAATCGCACAGGCGAATACAGTTCCCCCATTTTCCCTCATTTTCCCCGATTTTTTCTTCCAGTTCATTCGCAAAAATACTTGGGGCTGGAGTTTGCTGAGCCCCAGAATCTTGTCCCTAATTAGACCCCCAAGAATATTAGTTCAAGTAAGACGTATCCTCGGCGTGGAAATCCACTGGCTTTCCGTAATACCGCGGACGTAAATTCACCGCTGGCTCATGTTTCCGTCTGTCTCTCTCTTTCATCATATTGCTACTCGGCAGCTTCTACATTCTGTGCCACGTTGAGTTCAGAGTCAGATCAAATATCGCTTAATTAACCAAGTTGAAGAGAATATAATATTGAAGTACTATCAGCCTTTAATTCCGTATCTCCTGAGTAACGGTAAACAGTCCAAGTTTTCCTCTAATGGGCAAACCATCGTGTCCCGAGATTTACGGTGTAATTAGGGACGAGCGATTTTCATCGATTAATGAATTATTTAACGCCGTGGCTATTCGCACTACAACACGCAGCGTGTCACACGCAGAAATTCATATAAGGCTCGAGTGCAGGAGCGGGTATCGAAATATAGTGCAGATGATTCTAAGGATAATTTTCCAAGCAGGGGAGACTCCTAGACCCCAATGGACAATGTTGTCACAACTCTGCTTTTCAATTGNCCGCTCTTTCATTTGAGCTCAAAAAAACATTCATATCTTGTCTGACATCGCTGCTACAAACTCGGGTCTACACCTCGGACTTTCAATTGAAGGCCCGAGTTGAAGAGAATTTTTTTTTTTTTTATGCTTATTTTATATCGCTTCGAGTCTGATGAGACTATATGGCGATTGATCAAGACTTTAAAAATGGTTAGATCTCACCATTCTACCCGGCCAGGAATCGAACCTGGAACCTATCCGTTGTGAGGCAACGGCCTTAACCACTACGCCAGGCCACCTGGCAAGTTGAAGAGAATTGAATACCATTCTATGAAACACGAATAAACGAATGATAATTGTCCCAATCATTTAGGTCAGGGGAAAATAGAATAATTCTACTTTCTTAATATTGCGTTTACTAAGGTTTTCTTCGAACAAAGTTGATTAGAATTAATAGCTAGAATTATGAGATTATCTCACACTTTTGACGTTAAGGATAGGAGAATCTGAATGCAATATAGTGAAAATGATGATCGATTTTTCACTTTGAACAAATAATATTAATATCCAAATACAAAATTTCTGATATGAATAAAAAAAGCTGTGACTCAATATTCCAAATGAAGTTTTAATTTTTAATTTAGTGCTGAAAACCCGAGATGACAATATTCTCAGCACGGAATTATATTGATGAGATGAACAACAGATTAATTGAATTACCGTGTGAACTAACTAAAAATTGATAACAGTGTGGGCACACACTTTTACCAGAGTATCAGCAAACATTGAATTCCAGAAATTGACACTCTAAAGTGTGTCCTAGGAGGAATTGAATTGTAATTATGATTAAAATTTTATTCGGTGAGCATGGGAATTAGAACATGAGCAAATGATTCACTGTAAAATGAAGATTTCGCTAATTGCAATATTTTTCATCAAATTAATTGTTTATTTTTGATACCACGAATTTGTGGCACGACTACCATACCCACCGACCAACTTGATGAAGAAAGGGAGGAAAAATAGAAATAAACAGAAAGTTTCTCCTGTGAATGACTGTGCGGTGGAAGGTAACAAGCCCGGCCACTTCGGGAAACCGCTAACGGATGGCTGAATACAAAAAGGCTTTTCCGCCGTGGGAAGAAGCGCGAGGAGGGTGGAGAATGAAGAAAGGACAAAGTGATACTGGAGTTCAAGAAAGACTTGAAGTAACAACATTGTTTCGGGGAGACAGTGTCGGCGATGTACCAACTCAATTACAGCTCTTTGAACGACAAGATAATTGAAATGCCTGGCTGATGGGTTTTTTCGCTGTTGTTGGGTTGTCCCGTTGGTCCGGGGGTTTGTGGCGTTTTGACGAATGTAAAGGATTGCTTTTACGAGTGACGTTTCATTTTGAGTGGATGTAAGTAGGCATGGGTGGTGTGGAGAATTCAATACATTTTTGTTTGCGAGTGGAAGCTTTGTAATCGTTCAAATTCAAGTTTTTCTTCAATTGCTCGCTGATGACTGTATGGAATTGAATCGTTTTTTTCAAATGTAGACATTGTTGAGCCCTATCGATCGCCATTAATTAAAATTTAATTCATCGACTATTTTTTTTCGTTTCGAATTTTTTCGAAAATCGGTTGTACCACGATAACTAAAAAAATGTTCTGAATTGATTGGATGATGGCTTTAAAAATTTGTTTGGATGTGCTTTTGACCAAGTTCGAAGATGAAGGCGATAGCATAATCGCTATTTTGATTCATTTGAAAATTTGCAAAAATTTTGTATTTTTGAAAATCAGAATTCCGGGGATATCTTTGAATCTCATGCTTCAAATGAATTAAATTATAGCTTAAAATGTTTGTTTCAAATTGATTGAAATATGTATAAATAAAATTTTTCTATTAACATTTTATCGAAGGGCTGAGGGGAGAGATAGAACCGTAAAAAAGACCATCGGTTGTATAGAAGAAAGGGATAATAAGAATAATAATGATGATAACATTCTTATTCAATTTAATCAAATGAAATAAACAATGAATTACACATGCATTTGCTAATTTATTAGCAAAAATAACTAAACGAAAAAATTGAAGCGTTTATTTATTGATATGTAATTAACAATTTAAATCTTTCGAAAATGATTCATAATCAGTTTTAACGAATTGAAGGCGATTAATCATTGATCAAAGCACCCGTTTTTAATTTGAAATCCGCTTTTTTACAATGGTTAAACTATTTTAAATTCGTTTTTGCGGGAAAAATTGTATCGAAAATGTCGAATTCAAAGGAAAATGTATGAATTTTCAGAGAGAAATAATTTTTCAGCTGACAGTTAATGGAAAAAACATCAAAGTGATGCGTGAAATGTGTTACGCCGATGTTGAGGAACGCGTGATAATATTAATCGAGATGAATGTCAATCCGAAAACCCGACACTTTAATTAATACCATGGATTTTTGATGCCCTCGGTGGAGTTATTTAATGTCACATCGCACGGTTGATGAAGAGCATTACAGCTCGTTGAGGGAGAATTTCAAAAATAATGAAGCCGCCGGGGTTTTTCGTATTCCAAGGGATGAGTTCAATGTTACACACGCAAGAGTGATTTTCATGTGTGTGGAATTATTATTACGGCTCTTTGAACATTTCGGAATAACAAAAATATCGTATTCTCATATTCTTTTCCGTAATGCTCGCTCTGATAGAAACATAAATCACACAAATACCTTCGGAGAGAGAAATATTACGTACGGGGCAATAAATATGTGGTAAGAGGGGGCTCAACGAGAAGAATGATCATGTTCTCAATAAAGATTCGCAAATTCACTTGAATTTATGTATTTTTACGGAGCAGAAACGGTATTTATGAAATATCATCAATTATTTAGAAAACTTATCATTTTCAATAATTCATTTTTTTCCGTAAAAGCAAATTTCGTAAAGTGAAATGTCAAACGAGTGGGAAATTCCTTTTATATTATTATCTGCTTCTATAATATACAATTCATCGTGACACATCATTTTATTGAATTCAATGTAATTTCTTCTTTAATCAATTGTGTTATG